CAAACCCTCTGAGCAGCCTCTCCCATTAGCTCTGTCATGTGTTGAGCTTGCCTCACCTCCCCTGTCGCGTCTTTTATAAAACATACTGAGTAAGACTGGTATGACCTGAAGATGGGTCCAAGGAGAGTTCAGGCTTGTGGAAAATCCTGGTTTCATAATCAGATTTCTTTTTTTTTTTTCTGCATCATTGTTGAGAATGTTGGGTACCTTCACCTATATTTTATATGTTAGGAACTAAAGAGAATTGATATCATATGACTTGCAAAAAATAGGATTCGGCTTAAGAAAGTTACATTTTTAAAATAAATGTATTGAATAATAAATGTATAACTTTAAAAAAAAAATAATATGGTGTGTTGTGGTGGCTCAGAGGTTAAGCACAACCCACAATAATGTGGCACCAGGCACATTATTGTGGCAGACTAAACTTTGTTCAGTAAGTGAAGACACTTGTTTTTACTGTTTCCTTTATAAGGGTTGGGAAGGTGGATTCTTGCTTGCATTATAAAATGGCACTATGTGCCTGGAAAATATAAAATGTCTTTCCTCTAATTATTTTTTCAAAACATAAATATACTTTACTGTAGCTAAGGAAACATGGAGTTTAACAAAAGTTATTAAAATGTGTTGCTTTTACTAAGCAGGTTGTGAAAATGCTTTGGAAGCTACTACCTGACTCTTGTTCTCAAGCTACAAGTTGATGCACTGCAGTGATAGATGTGTCGCTGCTAATAAGAGTGGCTTGTTTCACAGTTCTATCCAAGCATGTAGTTATCAGAAAATGATCTGACACCGCAGAATGAAACTATTCTGCTCCTGGAATACCATCCTATTCTGAGTTTCTTTTACCACTAACCATTCCCTTACCTGACCTTCAGTTACAATTTGTGAAGCAAACATAGATGGGCTATTTCTTTTTCAGGATTATGTTAAAACCACTTCAATATGTGATACATTTTTATGTCATTATGAAGAAGTTATCTTTGATTTTTTTGTACATTACTCTATATAGGCATAAATCTCAGGTTCTTTATGATGTTATCTTTTATGTCTTTGGTATTAAGGATAGGAATTTAATTTTCTCTGACTTAACGTAGATTTACAGTATGATGCCATCAGCTCAAGGTCTTATCTGGTTTTTAAGCTCAGACCTCATCTCTTCCCAACTTATGAGTAGCAAGTCTTTACTGTTTTTTTTTTGTCAAAGAAAGCCTAAAGGTTTGTTCATTCCTTTCTGTTTTCAAGTGAATCGGTCATTTGAATGTTGGAGGAGATGTTTATTTTATGTGAAAAACTGCACTTCTATTTTAAAAAGTTTTTCTCTAAACAAATAGGTTTTTCCCCTATTTGTTGATGAACTTACTTTTCATTTGGAATGTGTGCATTTGTTTAGCTAGTCTAGCTGTCTATAATGCTTAAGTTTCTTTTATTCTTTTAAAGTTTTTTTGTTTAGAATTAATCCTTTCCAGAAACAGTTGTTAATTCAAGCATGCTTGATAGGTTAGCTCTACTTGACATGTGCTCCAGTTGTCGTTTCACTGCAAATCTTTTTTACTCACAGAATAAAATATGAAGCTTTTACACTACCGTCATAATAATTTCATCCATGCACATGCAAAATTTTCTACATAGACTATTGAACCAAATTTTGATGACATATGTTGCCATCATCAAAATCTTAGGAATGTTATATCAGTAATTTTTAAAAACTGTATTTCTGAGTTTTATTAAAAAAATAAATAAAGCAGTGTTTCCAAAAATTTTGCAGCAAGTTCAAATAAACTGTCATAAGTCCAGTTGGCGAGCAAAGGTAAAATATTTCTTAACTCGGGCTTGGATAGAAACCACTTGGAAACTTCTGACTGCAAAAAATTGTCTTAATCCTATAAAGCCATAGCAACCCCATATGCTGCTGACATTGGGTACATTAATGGGGCAAAAGCACAAAGATATTAGTAGGATCTAAATTTAAAGCTTGAGTTTAAGATTTAGGTAAAACTTGAGTTTGCACATTCAATTTACTCTAAATCTATGTGCAAAGGCAGATTGGCTACATAAGAATCTCTGCAAAGCCAAGTGCTGATGCAAATTTTATATATTTAAATGAGGCACTTTTCTTCCATTTAAAAGGAATACCACCCATATTTATGTAAATTATAGCCAGAGGAAACAACCTCTCTTTCTTGACAGCCAAAATTGTGGCATGACTATTTGCTGGAAAAAAAAAATAAGAACTGGTAAAAGCATCTCACAATTTTGGCTCAGCAAAAAATAAAAACACAAAATTGGCAACAGCTGTGTTGGTTGGGGAGTTTTTCTTGTCTTCTGGTAAGGTTTCTATGATATTTATATATAAAAAATAGATTTCTATTGAAACATTTTCTAAATCTTTCTTAAAATTGTTGGTTTATTTTTATTTTTTTTAACCAGAATACAACTCTTATGATTGTTAAATATCCCAATCGTGCTTAACAAGCTGAGATTGATAAATTCAAAGCACCTCTGCAAAGAAGGTCCATTTGTATTGCTTGACTTACTGTAGGTGAGGTGCTCTAATAAATATATGTTGTGTCTCTGCTAAGAAAATGTATCACATATATACATTTTGCAACAGTGGTGGCAAGCTTTTGGCATGTTTAAAAAATATTTAGCTATAGCTATAAATCTAATTGCAGATGCTCCAGCATTAGATTCCTTGGAAGGCAATACTGCAGGTTTGTTTACGTGAAGCTGTTTATCTTTATTTGTGGTAGAACACAAAGCAGATATGTAACTATGCCATAACATTATATGAGAAAGATGATTTTGAAGGATGGTCTTTCACTCCTAACAATGTCTTAATTACACATGAAACACACATAAATAAATTCTTACTCTGTTCTGGAATTTCATCCTGTGAAAAAGATCAAATATGTAAAACTAAACTTTGGATATACTTCTAAATCCCTCTGGTGCACCTGGTTGTAAAATGTTGTCAACTAGAATAGTGTAGACATGTTCCAGTAGTTCTTAACAAGTACTATTGGCAGCAGCTGTATTGGTCTGTGTGAAACTTGACTGAAAGGTCTTGATCAGGAGCTCAGATCTGAGAGAGCAAGGCGAAGTTAGTTTTCTCTTGGTGACAGCCGAGTGCTTCTTCGGCTTGTGTTCAGCTGCTAATGAGGGAATCTATGTGTGTCTGCTGAAGTCTTGTGTGAAGCTGAGTCTAAACTGGAGGAGGTGAAGACGGCCGTGTTTTCACCACTATTTCTGCAAAACATTGTTCAGTCACACTTATTTTTATTAATATCTGGTTTTAGTTTTATTGAAAAAAATCCAGTTAGCAGTGTAAAATTTTGTGAGAAAATATTTCCATGTTTCTGCCTGCATATTGTCCTGGTCCATAGTTGTTTTCCGCCCCATATTCCATTTCACATGACTTAATCTATCTACAATTGTTTGGGTGGAACTGTGGACTTGCATCTTTGTCATCTTTCTCTCCATGCTGACCCTGTGGTGAACTTGTGACACAGCCAAAGTGTATCCTGCCTCTTTCCCTATTACAGCTGGGAAACGTTCCAACCAATGCATGATACTAAACAGGTAGGGAAATGAATGACTTAACAAAAACAACCACAGGAAAAAGCCCCAATCCATCTACACTGTTGAAAATCACCCAGAATTTGGATGGCCTTTTGAAAGATGTTCAGATAGCTGTGGACTCCTGCCTCCGAGAAATTCATTTTAAACAGAATTTAACAGTTCATTTTTTGCTGGACTTTCCAGCTCTGTTATGTGTTCAGTTAATATGCATATTTTATAACGTATTTTAAAATCTAGCATTAGCGATACAGTGGAACAGCTGTTCGCCTGAAACTTGAAGGGTTTCAAGTCGATGTTGTTATTGTGGACTTTAAATTGCAGATACAGGCCTATTAATTGAAATCTGGAATATAAACTGAATGTTCCAATCATGTTGGAACTTGATATTGCATGAGGTTTCTCTTAGGGCTGGACTTGATGCTTTTGGGAAAAAAAATGTGATAAATTGAAATTGATAGTTAGATATTGTAGTAGCTGACGTTATGCAGTTTAACTTACGATGCAAAAAGATATAATCCTATTGTTAATACCACATATATTCTTTTAAATTATTGCACCAGCACTTAAGTGGAAATTTGCGCTTTTGGACTGTTTTTGGAATACCTCTCTTTAGTATTCCTAACAAGAAGATGAAGGACTCTTATAGTCCTATTTAAATTAAGGCATTCCCTGAGGAAATTCAGGCATTTTTTGAAGAATGGGTTTTATTGCTGTTTTTTTCTTTGTTGTTTATGTCACAAGTTGCATAACACTACATGTACTATCCTCTGCCTGAGGCATTGCAGTGTATTTTGTTACGCTGTATAATGCAGATGTAACAAGTTTTTGCTCATTTTGCTGTCAGCCTCATATAGAGGAATGTTAGCTTTAAGTGACTACATGACGTACTGGTCCTGACAGCTACCCATATGGTTGAAGCATGTTTTTTTATTCAGGGAATGAATGAGGTAAAAATCCTCTGCTGTCTCTGACCTCTACCACCAGGCTGACCTTCCCTGTCCAAACTCAGTATCTCACTTGCATGTCACTGGAAATGTTATCAAACGGATGTCTTGTTCAGTCTCTGTACTGGTTCACTTTTACACATCATATTTAATATGAGGAGAAATCTTACATGAGTTTGAGCTATGTGAGTGTAAGCAGGCTTGCTGATTAATGTATCAAAATAGACTTTTTTTTTTTTTGCAGGCATAGATGTTGTAGTATGATTTAGCATTGCTTCTTAGGGCAAATTGTCTACAATGTGGTACTAAAATGTCAAACAGAAGTATTAACTTTGCATAATTGTGATGCAGTTTAATACATTTATGTTAATGCAATCTTCTGAGAAGGAATTGGTTAATAAAGCAATTGGAAGTTCTTTTTTTAATAATATAAGTGATTATGATGATTCTTTAACTTTCACTGTGTGTCTGCAGGGACTCTCTGCATTTATGGTTACATGAATGTCAACGCTGCAGGCCAGATGCCGGTGATGGAGGAGCTTGTCAGTGAGAGGTGAGAATTAATCAACGTTTATCTTCTGTAATCACTGTCATTGTGATTAAGCTTCCTAAAAATGATCACGCTGTATAATGCACTACACACAAAGAAAGTTGCTTATCTCCAATAACTTTTACAATATATCACAAATAATACAAATATGAATGACCACAGATAGTGACAAGTTTGTTGGTTTCCTAAGTAAAAATATATTATCAATTTCAGCCATGACTGCAGTTGACAAATCTTTCACAAAAAAAAATTATAAATAAATTGAAGTTCATTTATTTAGTGAGGAAAAAAAAACACTAAAGTAGCACTACATTGCATGGCACAATACATTGTATTGTGCAGATGACAAATTCTCTAAAATATACTAGCTTTGTAATCACATTTTGCTTTTTTTTAAGTCTATCAAAGCTTTTTAGAACTTCCAATCATGAGTTTGTGATTTTCTATTTCCTCTGGGATATATGAATATGATGTGGCACAGAGACCCATTTCCTTTAATAACTGACCAATATTCAGAATAAGGACTTGAGTTTAACTTGAAGCCACCCACATTGAGGAAGGTATGAGGGAGATTAAAGTCGTCTGCAAAGATCAAGCATAGAAAACTATTTTTACGTCACCAATTCTCCAGGAAGCCAATAAATGATCTCTACATGCCATTCAGTGAAATTGTCTTTTAGATGTTTTTTCCCCCTTTGAACCAAAATATTGTAATCAAATGTTAGTTTTTTCAGTGAGAGTAAGCTGCTGCAATTGAAAATTAATAAAATTAAATCACTTGTTAATGAGTGTCAAGTGAACCCACTGGTCTTTGTCAGCTACATGTGTGAAATTGTCTGATATGCATTTTCATGTGGTCCATTCTTTCATAATGCTGCTATTTTATATATCAAGACATAAACTATCATATAATAGCACGCAATATGTAAGTGGTCATGTTCTTATGTCAGCTCAGCTTCGTGACCTTAATTAACACAGATGCCGTGAGGTTCTATTTCTTGAGATCTAGTGCTCTCTGAACTGAACATCCACACTGATGTTCACATGCTTACTGTGTGTCAAATACAATATAACGTACTATGCTATCATGTCTCTGTAAGATGTTATTGCAATGTGAAAAACGGGTTGTTGCATGGCATAGCTGTGAAACTTTACCAGAGGCAGTTAAATCCACATACATGATGAGCACTTGTTTGGTGTTTGTTGATGGTGGGAGCTGTGTAACACATTCCTCCACACCATAAAATTCCCATCATTGTCATTCAAATGTGACCAGTCACTGACCCGTAATGGTCTGCATTCACTCTCAATGCAACTGCAAACAGGTCAAACAGGGAACTTTCTAGTTTTCAGCTTAAGAAACAAAACAATTCTTTAAATAGTTTCATTTGTTCACTTGCATTCTTTATTATCAAGGAGCTTAGATGAGAAGTTTCTTCTCTAGTTCTCCTTTGCATTGAAAGAAAGTTCTTTTGTTCTTGTGGTGAGAGCATATACGATACAATGCTACAACCTTAATGGGTCAGAAAAATGCGTTTATATTCTTCTTAATTCATGATAAGATATATGTGTTTTTTAAAATGTTAATATAGGCAGTTATAAAAGTTTTCAGTGGAGGTTTCACAGACCCCAGATATTAGCTGGGGTCTGTGTTCACTTACCTCTGCAAATACTGGGGCTTACAAGAACTTATATCTTATCTACTCTTTTTTTCTTCTGAGAACAAAAAGTAAATTTGTATAATCACTTGAGAGTTCAGTTCACTTTAAAAGCTTAGCTTGTTACTTGTTTTATTCTATTGTATTGTTTTTCAGTACTTACCAAACAAAAACTCAAAATGTTAACTGTGCTCTTTTTACTCTTTGATATATGCTAAAGTGGTCAAGTTTTGTTATTCAGAGGGTTGCCTTGACATAACATTAAAAATGCCTCAACTGCAGGAATTTGGGTTGTGTGTGTGTGTGTGTTTTTTTAATCCACAATCATTCATGTTTGTTTTATAACATATCCTCCATTTTTATGGACATAAACTTGTGTGCAGAAATAAAGCTGAATATGTTCTTCAGCAGTCATATAATTTCAGCACAAAAACACAAAATAAATGCATTATATGCTGAGTTACTTATTTTAGTGTGCACTTATTATTAAACTCTTTATGGTGAAACTGCAGCCATTGATAGTGTCGTGTCAAGTACAGCAGTATCAGAAGCCTGCAGCTAAAAAATGAATTGGCAGTCCTGATTCCTGCTTCAGGCTTATTCTCATCTTCTTAAGGAGCGTTTGGCTCTGCTGAGGAAACAATGGGCTTTGTGGGATTTCTGCTTCACCGCTCACTGCCTCTGTAGTCGTTTTTCTCCTCAGGCTTGTTGATTTCATTTGAACACAGATCACGTTAAAACTGTTGTGTGGTATTTTTTCCTGTTTTGGATTTTAAAAATAGCAGTTTCTTCTGCTTGGTAAAGTTTCAAACATTTCAAGGTGCAGATGAGAGATAACTTTTTTCTGACTAGCCACAGTTTGCCGGTATTTTTCTGACTGTTGCTTTGACACACAAAGTGACAATGAAAAAAGAAACGGGTAAAAGACAAAAGAGATACACATTGCTACAATACTCCAAAAGTATGCTTTTGAGCAAGTGTTATTTTATATTCAAACGTGAAATTATACTCTCATATCATATTAAAACAATAAATTATGTTTTCACACTCAATGCAGTTTTAAGGTATTCATTATCTTTCAAATATATGTTGTTGGGCTCTGACCAGCTTTGGTTACCACCCTGGTCTACCAAGAAGATGGCAAGTTTAATTTGTCATTCATGTAGTTTGAGGAGTGCAAGCATTCGAATGACAACAGCTTCAAATATTTTAGGATTTCCTTATATAAGACATAATAAAACCAGACCTCTGTCTGACTCTGGATTCTTCAGTAGCATATGAAGACATTGAGTCACTTGAACCAGCAGGAGTGACTTATGGTTCATTGACATGTGCTGTATTAATAACCTCCAGAATGACAAAAAAATAGAATTAAGCCTCCATTCAATACAATTCAATTCAATTAAAGGTTGAGAAATCACAACAACAAATATGTGGAAGTGAAACTTACAATAAATCCTTCTGTTTAGTCATGAGCGCAACAACAAAGGAAAAAAAAAATCTGTTTCAACATTCTTCTAGTTCTCATTTAAAGTTTAATCATTAGAAACTCACATTTACATGTAATTTACTTAGTTATTACATATATTTATTAAGTGTGAATTTTGAACGAGTTCACATGCTCAAATGTGATTTTAGCATCTAAACAAATTAATTAATAGTTTTAAGGAGGGGTAACATTAAACAATGTAACATCAAAGAATCCATTTGGCAGCTTTACAAATTAAAAATGTGTTTTATCTCCTCAGTAGAGCCTGTTGTCGTTTTGTAGCTATTAATTAATTGAATGTCTTTGACAGAATGTTACAGAGCCCCTTATTTATTGGTATTGAACTTGACATACTTTAATAGTTTAGAGCAGTATTTCCTTTGAAAATTTTGAAAACAATAATCTTTCTCATTTGAGTGTTGAGCTGTCACAGTACCTGTCAATATTATTTTAAAACTATTGCTTAGAAAAAGAAAACCAGTGACTGCCAATCAATGCACCATGCACACAAGACTCCTGCAGACTGAGATAAGAGCTTCTCTCCACATTCAGATATTTGAAGGAAAACTGTTTAAAACATTTTACCACAAGTTATTGTTTATTGTAAGAAAATATTGTTTATTGTCTTGAACAATAAAATATTTTAAGACAATAAAAAATATACAAAACAAATGCTTCCTACTAATTTTTATAATCAGCATTATCAATGACATCGATTATAACAGTCTGGTTGCACCAGCTCTGTTGTACACCGATTGTATTAGACTATTGTTTTTGCTTTTCTGAGGTAGAGATTTGTTCCATAAAAAGTGTTTTTATGATTAATTTCAATGGAACTCTGTGATTAAGTGATGAAAACAAATGTATCAATTAAAACTGTAACACCACTCAGGCCTGAGGTTAAAGGTCAGAGAGCTGACTACATCTTGTGATACTAATCTTCTCCTGTATGCACAAAGCACAGAGTAAAAATTTCCATTGCAACACAGACCAAAAAATCAGAAAGTCTCCGTTACGTAAAATATTGTCACTCTTGTACAACAAACCTCTGTGGTTTGCTCAAAGATTCTATCACTTTACAGCAGCTTTTCACACTCAAACAGAACGAGGTTTAGTTACAGTACAGAAGCTTTGCTGAGCTCCTCAATTTAAAACTCACCCTTGTTAAGTTAAATAGTTGCATAAATGCTGAAGGTCACTTATTACTGATCTCCCTTAAACACAGCACTGATTCCTTTTAGCATATAAAAGTGAGCAACTATTGACAAAATTATTTTTTTTAAAATCAGTTTGGCTTTTGTTGCAGCATCATTGAGTTTATCTCTAAATACAGATTGTATATTATATTTTGCATTCAAAGGGAGATCTTTTTTTTTCCTTCAAGGTTTTATAAATACTTAATTAGCCAAAATAGGTTATAACACAAAACACAAATCTGATGTTTATGAAATGATACACCTAAGCTTGTAAACTAGGTGAAAATATATATTTTTCTTGTCTCATATTTTTTTTAAACACTGTTTATGATCACAGTCTCTTGTCACCTTTAATTCACAAGTACATTGCATACATAGGTAGAAGTGCAAATTATACAGCCCTGCTGAGTGGGGGGAAAAATCATGCATTAGTTATTGATGATCAGATATTCGCATAATATACACTTAAATAGGAGAGGTGCAGCATTTCTTCTCAGTTGACTCATTATTCAAATGCCATCTATTGCTGGTTAAACCTGTACGTCCTAGCTTTTGTTTTATAGCAAAACAGAATTAGATTTATTAAAGTTCTGTAATGGCATGAAATCATACAGAGACCAAATTGCACTAACACAGGTGTTAAAGCTGATTACCAATGGA